AGCAGCAGCAGCAGCAGCAGCAGCAGCAGCAGCAGCAGCAGCAGCAGCAGCAGCAGCAGCAGCAGCAGCAGCCGCCCTAAAGGTTTTTGAGCACCAGCTACTCAAGAAGTTTTGGACTTTGGGTCTAGACAGATGGCTTAGGAGTTAAGAGCACTGGCTGCTCTTGCAAAGAAGAGCAATTCTTGTTTAGTTCCTAGCACCCTTATGGTAGCTCACAACCATCTGCAACTCCAGTGCCAGAGGTTCCTCTTCTGACCTCCACAGGAACCAGAACTAAATATGCTACACATACATATATGCAGACAATTTATACACATTAAAGAGTAAGTAAATCTTGGGGTGGGAAGGACTGCTTTCTGTGTAACTCCAGAGTCAGTACAAGTAATGTACAGATCCAGAAGTAGTTCATACTCTCCTACTAAGCAACTATTCTCAATTTGTCCACATCCAAAAGCTTTTATAAAGTACTAAGCAGCCAATGTGCTTCTGTGCCTTCTCATCTTCATTCTGCATTCTTAAAGTCACCTAGAAAAGGAAGGGAATACACTAACCTAGCTAGTCTCAGCCCACCCCAAACTAAAGCTTAATACTCAGTGTCTCATACCATCTGCAATATTGTGCTTTACCAAAATGCAGAAAAGCTTTATCAAAGTATGCCATTTTAAAGAGTAAAAAGAGACTAGTGACTACACAGAATTTCAGAAACTACAAAGTAAAATTAAAACTGTACCTCACAACAGAGAACAACAACAAAAAAAAAAGTCTTTAGAGGCTAAAGAGATGGGCTCAGTGGTTAGAGCACAGGCTGCTCTTCTAGAGGACTCAGGTTCAATTCCCAGCACCCACATAGCAGCTCAAAACTGTCTTTAACTCCAGTTCCGGGTGATCTGACACCCTCACACCAATGCACATAAAATTATTTTTTAATGAAACAAAAAAAAAGAAAAAAGTTGAACACAAAACATGTATAGATGTTTATAATTTTAAAAGGCTAATGATTAGTTCTGAAAAATATTTTCCTCAACTACAATCAAATAATCACATTGGTTACTATAGCAGCTACCACCTATTTAGAGAGAACAAATTAGTAGGGATGTAGTATGAGCGAGGGCCTGAGTGCCAACTCCCAACTGTGAGGGGAAAAAAGGAGCAACTGAGCCCAACAGGATGCGCAGGTTGTAATCCCAGCACTGGAGAGACTAAGGAGGCATCAGGTACACTACAAATTTAAAAAAAAAAAAAAAAAAAAAAAGTGAGCCAGGAATACACAGCAAGTTCTAGGTCAACCAGAGCTACAAAACAAATAAAAACAAGAAAAGCAAACAAAAAACAAGAGAGAAAGAGAACACAATTTTGTTGTTGCTTCTAATTCTGGTAAGAACTCAGAAATACATAGTAACACTTATAGAAAACATGACAATTCTCAAAATAACTGGCAATCTTTTTGTGGTTACTTTTTTGTTCAGGAATTCAGAGCAAGCATATCCTAGAAGCCAGTTATATGCAAAGAGTAACAAGTAATGCCTCTGGAGTGAAGATATAGCTCAGTGGCAGAGTGCATACCCAGATGTGCATGGGTTCAGTGCCCAGAGCAGCAAACAGGTTTTGGAAAAAGCCTCTACTTAAATCTCTCAATTAATCTATTTAAACCTACGAAGATTTTACTTGTATAAGTACACAACCATGTATCAGATACAATGCTAAAAGTACAAGTTAGTGAAAAGCTACATTTATTAAAAGGTGGCATACAAAGTAGTTCCTCATAGGGTCAAAAAAGTTTAATGTCTTCTTAGCCTCCTGCTAGCCCGAGTTAATGCACAGAGATAAAGTATCACTTCATACAGTTATATGCATAAGGATACTGTCTCTCCCAAATTAAGTATTCAACAGTCTAAAAATAATTTTATATAGATGCTATAGAAAGCTTAATCTCTCTCCTCTCACCCCCTCACTCTGAGACAGGATCTCATTCTGTAGACTAGGCTGGTCTTGAACTCACAGAGATCTGCCAGTCTCTGTCTCCCCAGTGCTGAGATTAAAACACAAAAACAATGGAATGTGTGTAGCATTCAAAGAAAATTTCTAAGTCGTAACTGACATAACTCAGGCAGAGAAAAAAAAAAAAAACCCACAGATTTTTTTCAAACTTAACGTTTTATTGCAATGGGTTAATTACATTTATAAATACATAGTTTCTACATAATTAAACTCTATAAAAATTTGCTTTTAGTCGAGGAGTAGTGGCACACGTATTTACTCCTAGCAGTCAGGAGGCAGAGGACCTCTGAGTTCCAGGAAAGCCTTCTCCAAAAAAAAAAAAAAGGAAAAAATTTTTTTTTTCTTTTCTAATATTTAAACCAAAAGCACAATATCATTCTTGAAAAACAAAGCAGTTAAGAGTGTCCATTGCTTTCTAAGTCTTGCATCCCTAGTCATAAAGGCAGTTAATGGAAAGCACTCAGGGAGGCAGGGCAGGCGAATTTCTGAGTTCGAGGCCACCAGCCTGGTCTGCTCAAGGCGAGTCCAGGACAGCCAAGGCTACACAGAGAGAAACCCTGTCTCGAACACAAACAAACAAATTTAAGCACAGAATTTAGGGAGAAAAAGACATAAGAATTAAATTTAAAAACAGCTTGTAGCTGCACTACGGTTGGGTGTAATTTGAAAAACGCGAATATACGAAATGCGGTAAAAATGTGAAGAGTCTAAGGGGATAATCGTGACTAACTCTGGTAACCCAACGTTTTCAAGGATGCTCACCCAGGAGCCATCACGGCTAGCTCTAGGCATCCGCGGCCCGTGAGACCAGGAAACCTTACACGGTCGGTCTCCCTTTCTCCAGCCTTTAAAACCGTGAAGCAGCCAGAGCCCACGGGGCAAACGCTTGGCTTTCAAACCACAGTCACGTCCACACCGATCTGTCAGCCACACTGAGAATTCGCGGTGGCTGTTCCTCTCCGTCCCTCTGCCCTGTTAGCGAGGTACCACCATCTTTTTGTTCTGGCCAACCCCCCCGCGCCTTCCAAGTCTTTGGCGCAAGCCATTTATCTTCACAGATTTCTTCTTCTTCTTCACAAAGGCCGAGGACTGGGCCTCGGAGGCCCCGCCACCCCGCGACTACCCCAGGCGGGCCAAACGCACCGACTCTTCAATGAGATCGGCGGGTCCCAAGAGTCAGGTGACTTGTTGCAGACGTACCCCACACCTCAGCCGCCTTCCCCCTCGGGGGCCGGGGGGCGGGGGCCGGGGCGCCACGCCGAGGGCTGCCGCCAACGCGAGCAGGAGCCCAGAGAGAGCCGGCGCGCGGGATACAAAGGGCTGTGAACGCGGCCTTCCATGAGGCGACCGTGCGCGGACAGAGACACAAAATGGAGCGGCCGGGAGGAATCGGAACCCGAAGCGGCAGGGCCGGGATGGAGGCGGCCGGCGCGCGACCGGCCAGGGCTTCCCCCCCGCTCGGGCCGGCGGCGGGGGAGGGGGCGCGGCGGCCCGTTCTCCCCGCCCCGCACACGCGGCCTAGCTGGGCGGGAAGCGCCCGCCGCCGTAGCCAACAATGGGGCGGGAGGCCGCCCCGGGGAAGGGGCGGGCGGGCGGCGGCTGCACCGAGACCCGGCCCCGCGCTCCAGAGCCCCGCGGCCCGCAAAACGACGCGCGAGAACGAGGGGTGAGGGGCCGCGGCGCGGCCCGGAGGCGCCAAGGGCGCACGGTCTGCAGCCGAGCCGGCTCGCGGCCCGCAGCGGCCCCGGCCAGCGTCCGGGCCGCGGCAGCGTCCGCGGCGGCGGCGGAGCCCGGACCCTCACCTACCTGGTTGAACTCTTCGCCCACATCCGCGTAAATGTCTATGTGGTCCACACCGTCCGCCATCTTCCCTCGGCCTCGGCCGCCGCCGCCGCCGCCTCCTGCAGGTCGGCCCGCCGCGGCAGCAGCAGCGGATCTAGCGGTGGGGGCGGGGCGCCCGACGTCACTTCCGAGGGCCGGGCGGGGCGGGGACCAGGGCGCAGCGGCCCACTGGTGCGGACCGGGGAGCCGGGCAGGGGTGCGCTGCGGCTCCCAGGGCGCTGCTGACTGGTTCCTTTGTGTGCAGGGTTGAGGCCGCGGTCCGGGCAGGGGCGCAGTTTTTCTGCCTTACTCCGCCATCTCGCAAGCCGGTGGACCCCGCTTATTTGCATACAGGCTTTTTAAACTGCTTCTGGCGCTTTTTTTTTTTTTTTTTTAATATTTTACATTTTCAGTTTTTCCCATGTTTTTCTGCTTCCAAGGCTCCGAGAGGTGGGAGTTAGGTGTGCACAATTAAAATCAAAATGTAATGCCCAGGTATTTGTGTCTTTCAGACGAATGAGTTTTGAGGTTGGCTTGAGTTAGCTGCATATTTCATATTTGCATCTCTTATCCTTTATGTAGTTGTAACCGTTTCGCTTCTTCCCTCAACACATTGCCCTTGCTTTTTACCTCTTCGTGCCTACAACAGGTTCTCTCTGTTCGGAAGCTTCTTACTTCGTTTTAGAGCTCATACAACAGAGTAGATGTATCGTAAATCTAGGAACTCCTAGATTCAGAATGCTGAGCTAGAAGGGAAATTTAAAAGGTGTTCCCAGGCCCAAACATCCCATTTTACAGATGCGAGTTCTAAGGCCTAATGGGACATAAGTGGCTTAACTGAGGTTACATGTCTTGTAAAGGTGCACGCCTTTTGACATCGACTCATGATTCAGAGATGTCTCTCCATTTCCAAGGGCTCCACATATTTTCCTTCCTATTTAAAAACTCACCAGGTCTGGTGATGTCCCTCAGCGGATAAAGGTCCTGGCTGTGAAGCACTCTCAAGGAGAAAGGAGAGAACCAAATTCTGTTACGTAGTCCTCTGATCTACTCCGCGCCTTTGGCTACTCCCACGTCCACCCCCACTCCTGCCAACAAGTAAATAAATAAGCATTTATTTATTTAAAAAGAAAGCACCGGGTGCAGACTGGTCTGAAACATCACTAAACTAAAGTAACGTCTGTGCTTGTTACAGATGTAAAAGCTTGCACAGAGACTAATTTGATGATCTGGATACACATTCCTTTTAAAAAAAAAAAAAATTATATGTAAGGGTGTTTTGCCTGCATATAGTCTTGTGTACCACGAATGTGCAGGGCCCTGGGAGGGTACATAAAAAGGCATCAATCAACTAGGACTGGCGTTGAAAGGGGTAATGAGCCAGCATGTGGCATGTGGTGTCGGAAGTCAGAGTCTGGCCCCTGGAAGAGAATCCCATCCTCTTGACCATTGTTCAGACGTGACTTACGATGGCCACCCCTGTTGAAAAGTCAGAATCACTCCGAGTGCTGGAGGAGCACGTCTTTAATTCCAGCACTTGGGAGGTAGAGGCCGGCGGGTTTCTAAGAGTTCCAGGCTGGCCTAGTCAACAGAGCATGTTGCAGGATAGCCCAGGCTACACAAAAAAGCACCCCATTCTCTTCTACCTCTCCACCAGACGGTTGCTCACACAGTGTCCTAAGAAAATGTTATGCTGGACATGGTGACACACACCTTTAATCGCAGAACGAAGGGAGCCAGAGCCAGGTGGATCGCTGTGAGCTGGAGGCCAGCCTGGTCTAGAGTTCCAGAATAGCCAGGGTTAGAGAGAAACCCTGTCTCAAAGCACGCCCACACACCCACACACACACAAATGTACTGTGTACCTTCACAGTACCTTCTTAATTGACAATTTTCAAATTTTTAAATGTTTGTGTAAATTAAAAAGGAAAAATATAATAACTCTAGCACTTATTTTTATGTTTGCTTATTTACTTATTTTGTGTATGAGCATGTGTGTAGATGCAGCCGTGCCGTGGCTCGTGGATGGAAGTGAGAGGACAGCTTTGGGAGTCATTTCTCTCCTCTCATTGGGTGGATGGATGGGTAAAACTTAGGGAAAGGCTGCCAACACAAGCCGTTATCTATTGAACCATCTCACTGTCCCTCTAGCAAGCACTTAGTACCTTCCACATACCAGCCTTTTTGTTAGCTAAAAGACTGGAAACTTGGGTTTTCGTCCTGACTCAACTCTGACTAGCCAAATAACCCTTTCTTTTCTTTTTCCTTATTTTTTTTTCTTCTTTTATTTATTTATTTTATTACTATTGGTATTATTGGTATTGGTATTTCGAGACAGGGTTTCTCTGTGCAGCCCTGGCTGTCCTGGAACTTTAGACCAGGCTGGCCCTAAGCTCAAAGCTTTGCCTGCCTCTGCCTCCTGAGCACTGGGATTAAAGGCGTATGCCACTACCGCCCAGCTCATTTCTTGATGGAGGTTCTAAAATCTTTTTGTCTCAAGTCTCCATAGACAGAAAGTCCAAATGTCTTTAGAATAAATTCCACAATACCAAGTTACATATTACACAGAAGCTGCCTTTCCACCTGCCTGTGTTAGTTTCTAATTGCTACTGTAACAACTTAGTAACGATGTTAGCGGTCCAAAACAATTCAGATTTATTATCCTACCAGGTCAGGAGTCCAATAAAGGTGTTACAACACTCTAACAGAAAGCAACTTAGGGAGGACAGGGTGTATTAGGATTCTTTAGAGTAAACGTATAGAGCGTGAATAAAAATCTAAGTACTAAGTCTGCTCTTCCAAAGGACCTAGGTTCAACTTCCAACACCCACATGACAGCTCACAACTGTCTGTAACTCCAGTTCCAGGTGGTCTGACACCTTTACACCAATGCACAAAAATAAAATTAAATAAATTATTTTTTTTAAAAAAAGAAGTGGATCTTCCCAATTCAAATTAAGCAAAGATCCACAGGTATGCCTTGCCATTTTGAGGTTTTAGTTACTTTCACAATGGGTTGATTTGTATTGCACTTTCAGGTCACAGTCCATCGTTGAGGGATGTCAAGACAGGCACACAACCCAGGAGCTCGAAGAAGAAACTATGGAGGAATGCTGCTTACTGGCTTACTCACAGACTCATGCTCAAGGTGTTTGTTTGTTGTTTGTTTGTTTGTTTGTTTGTTTTTGTGCAGGCCAGATCCACCTGCCTAGGGATGATGTCTCCTAAAGTAGGCTGTACCTTCCCACATCATTCATCATCACGATAGCATCACGATAGTCTCTCACAGAGCAATCTTAGCAGGCAATTACTCAATTGAGGGTCCCTTTTCTTAGTAACTCTGGCTTGTGTCAAATTAACAAAAACTAACCAGCAAAAGGCCTACCAAAGTATTGTAGAAAGTCAGAAATAAGTTTGAAAGGTAGCACGGCTACTCTGTGATTCATCTGCCTGTTTCCATAGATACAAGAGAGGTTTCTCTCCTTTTTCATCTGTGTGGCCATGCCACAAAGCAGCCTCAGTTCCAGGGTTCACATAATCACCATGCAGGAAAACAGGCAGCTGTCATAGTTCCATTACAAATGTAAGGAGAAAGCAACTAATTGTCTCATTAGCATATATTCATTGTTTTAAAAAAACAAGAGATTTGATTATGACATTTTCACACATGTATATCATGTACTTTAATCATTCTCACACATTCTTGTTATCCTCTCTTGTACATCCCTTCCTCCTTCTGCTGGCCCCTTCTCCCTCCCAAGTAGTATCCCTTCTATTTTAATGTTTTTTTTATTTTCTTAAATCTAGATTCCACTTATGAGAGGAGCAAAAAAAGAATATTTGTTTTTATAAATTTGGCTCACTTTTTATTAATTTGACATCCAACCATTTTCCTGCAAATGGCATAATTTCACTCTTCTTTATGGCCAAATGAAACTCCATTTTGTGTGTATTTTATTTCTTTTTTTTTTTTAATTTTATTTATTATGTATACAGTGTTCTGCCTACATGTAACACCTGCACGCCAGAAGAGGGCACCAAAAGTTATTATAGATGGCTGTGAGCCACCATGTGGTTGCTGGGAACTGAACTCAGGACCTTTGGAAGAGCAGCCAGTGCTCTTAACCTCTGAACCATCTCTCCGGCCTGCTTTTTATTTCTTTATCCTTCCATCTGTTGAGAGATACTTAGGCTCACTGCATAACTTAGCAATTGTAAGCAGTGATGAACTTGTGTGCCCTTTCCTACAACCTTGCCAGTTTTTCATTTGTTTGTTTGTTTGTTTGTTTTGAGGCAGGGTTTCTCTGTGTAGCCCTGGCTGTCCTGGAACTCACTCTGTAGACCAGAGGGGCTTCAAACTCACAAAGATCCACCTGCCTCTGCCTCCCAAATGCTGGGATTAAAGCTTGAATTCTTGATGACAGCCATTCTGACTGTGTGAAATGGGATTCCTATGTAATTTTGAAAACGTACATTCATTTATTTGGGGGTGGTAGGAGTGAGCTCGGGGGTAGAGGCATGCACCAGAGGAGCTAACGCATTCTCTTTACCATATGGATTCTAGGGCTTGAACTCAGTCTGTCAGCTGTGATAGCAAATGTCTTTACCTACCATGCTCCACTAACTTGTCGACCTCCCAAAATGTAATTTTGATTTGCAATTCCCTAATGGCTAAAGATGCTGAACATTTTTTTCCATATATTTATTGGCTATTTGTAGATCCTTTAATTTCATAATTCCTTATATATTCCAGATTCTATTCCCAGTAAGATGAAGAATTAGGAAAGTTTTTCCCCCGTTCTGTAGACTGTCTTTTCATCTTCACTCTCTCTTTCCATTTATTGCACAAAAGCTTCTTTTATTTTGTGTAAACTCGTTTGTCATTCTTGCTTTTATTCTGAGAAATACTGGAATCCTTTTTAGGAAGTCTTTCCAAACCCTGCATCTTGAAGTTTGAAGTGTTTTTCTCTAGTACTTTTGTAGTTTCAGGTCATACATTAAGACTTTTAGTCTGTTTTGAGTTGACTTTTGTATAAGGTAAAAGACAGGGATCTAATGTCCTCTTTTGTAGGTGGAGATTCATCTTTCCCAGGATGATG